CTCTGTATGACTTTCAGCATACAGAGGTGGTACAAGAGCTACCATTGGCCACAGCGCCTACCCAATTTTTGAAGTTGAATCAATAACCAGTGCTCAACACTCCCGCTTGACGCACACCCCCAAAAAACTCTTACAGAGTTTAAGCGGCAAAGCCACAGCGCTACAAGCCGTAGGGACTCTGCATGACTTACAACCATGCAGAGGTGGTAACTGATGGTTATCATTGGCTCCGACGCCTACCCAAAACATTTTTGCTTTAATACATTTTTATGCAAATAAATTCATCCTGGTCCTGCCCTCACACTGAGTTATTCACCAGCCAACATAGGAGATTCTTATCGTCCGATAACACTCCTTTCCCCGGTAGCGAAGACACTCGAGGCCTTGCTACTCCCGTATTTCACAAACCACTTGACCCCAGCGATGCATCAGCATGGTTTCCGTAAAGTGCACAGTACAACAACAGCACTTAACGCCATAAACACTCAGATAACTCGTAGCCTTAACCGAAACCGTCCCTGTGAGAGAACGATTCTAGTAGCGTTGGACTTGTCAAAGGCGTTGGGCACCATCTGCCATTCCACGCTACTAGAAGATATAGAGGCCTCCTCTCTCCCACAGAGGCTCAAACGGTGGTCGGCAAATTAACTGAGTTGTCGACACTCGTCGGTAATGTTTAGAGACAAAACGAATAAACTCAGAAAAATAAAACAGGGGGTTCCACAGGGTGGTGTCCTTTCCCCGCTACTGTTTAACTTTTACATTTCAAAGCTCCCTCAACCACCAGAGAGAGTCTCGATTGTCTCTTACGCCGACGATTGCTCGATCATGGCGACTAGGAATGGAATTTAAAGTAAACGGGTATCTCTCCGAACTTTCTCGCTTCTTCACTGCAAAGTGTCTAGTCCTCTCCCCTACGAAATCCTCTGCGACCCTGTTCACAACCTGGACGAAGGAGGTCAGGCTACCGCTGGGAATTCACGTCGATGGCACACCAATTCCGACGGTGAATAACCCCAAAATACTCGAAGTAACATTCGACAGGCTGCCCTCCATCTCTGCGCACGCAACCGCTATTGTCAATAAAGTACAGAGCCGCAACAAGGTCATCAAGTCGCTAGCCGGCAGTACTTGGGCAAAGACAAAGAAACGTTGCTGGCAACATACAAGGCCGGTTTTAAACTACGCAGTGCCAGTGTGGTCGCCGGGGACTAGTAGGACGCAGTGGACGAAGCTACAGACTGGACAGCGACAGGATGCCTCCTGATGTCGCCCGAACATCATCTCCACGGCGAGGCGCAAATGCTCCCCGTAAAGGAGCACAACATAATGCTCTGCAAGCAGTTCCTGATCGGGAGCCACAGAAGTGGCCACCCAAACAGACAGCTGCTTGCAGAGGAGCCCTCGCCTAGGCACGTCAGGAGGCATCTATATGAACTGACGGACGAAGTCCAGAGGTTCATCAAGCAACCTCTGGCCCCGTCAGCTTACCGACTGGTCCTGAACGGCATTCACAGGGAGTCAGTCTCGAGTTATGTAGACTCTAGACCTGTGAATGTCGTTCTAGGCATACCGCCCCCGGACATAGACGAGACGGAGCTTCATCTGACTCGGGAGACACGAACGACAATAGCCCAACTTCGCTCTGGCTACTGCAGTAGGTTAAACTCCTACCTGAGTAGATTGAAAGAGGATGTGCCAAATGAGTGTCCGGCATGCGGAGAGACCCCACATGACTCGAAACATCTCTTCGCATGCCCGGAAAACCCGACAACCCTAACGGCTTTGTCCCTGTGGACTAACCCAACAGAAGCTGCACGCTTCCTAGGGCTGCCGTTAGTGGAACTTGACGACAACGATTGAGATACCAACCGTCCTGGGCGGGGTTGTTGTAGCCGCCACAACAACAACAATAACAATAACACTTTTCATGAACTATTCTCAATAGGAACGACTTCCTGTAATTTCTGACTAAATCCTGTAAACCGGACTGCTATCGGAACAGACTACTTGTATTCTATCATTCTTGGTGTTATTGCATGAACCAATTAGAACAGATCCGACTGGTTGAGAAGCAGCCATTTGGGGTTGGCTTACCTTTGTGGCCGTTCGTTAAAGGGGCGGTGGACGAAAGGTAAGTGGGCGTGGCACCTCTAACCACCGTTTTGGAGAGGGAATGAACCGCCATTGACAAAAATGCAACCCCCGACCACCTAGGTCCCTTATGTTTCCCTAAGGACCCCTTAGGAAAATTGCCAAAAATCACAATTTTCATTTACGTTTATTCGCTTAAAAAATGTTTAATATTCATTTACACAATACATTTTTATATAGACATTTTTATATACAAGACATTTTTATAAAACACCCAGTAACCAAAATAGACATCACTGGGGCGGCAGCCCCAGGTTTACAATACAGAAAGGGAATTCTAGTTACCTCATCCTTTCCCAAGGTTACATCACTGGGGCGGTAGAAAGCAGAATTCTTCGTAGTAACTGCCATACCTAAACAAAGGCGTTGGGCGGAACGGTTTCTGAAGTCCTAGCGTTAGCGCCGAAGTGCCATACCTAAACAAAAGCGTCAACGCTACGTCAAATGCAGAAATAACACCAACAATAAGCATAGGTTTGTTTATGTGTAACACAGAAATGACAGTTCCGCCGTTTTCTGCAGCCAACTTTAATACCTAACGCCCTGTCAAAATCGAAGTTTCCAGCCGCTCAGCGTTGACGCCGCGTTGTTTCGGTATGCTTCATACAAATTGTATGGGCATGAGAATTTTTTGACAGCCAGACAACGCTGACGCTTTTGTTTAGATATGGCAGTAAGGGTTATGATCCCTAAGCGCGGCCGAAGGCCGCCTACGCAGAAAGGAATTCTACGCAAAAATACTGTGGACGCAAGTAAAATTTCGATTTTCGGCCATTTTTCTAAGGGATCTGTAGGGAACCATAGGGGCTGTGTGACGTTCGTAATTTTGAAGTTGGCTATTTATGTCTTGCTTCTTGCTTTATGTGTATTTTGTCGGTGGTTTACTTCAGTGATTTTTAAGCGATTTTCAATAAATTTTTTGTGCAAATATAATTAAATGGAAGTGCACGGTGATTGGTGCCAAAAACACGTACAAAATAATAATTTGGTTTGCACAAACTTGTGCGGCAAAATTGCTTGTATTTTTTTCTTTACGCTTCGTCTTCATATTCTTTGTTTACTTCTCAAAGAAAATAACATGGCGCCGAAATTACAAACGTCAGCCAGAAAATTAATTTTGTCAGATCTTGTGTAGTTGGATCATGGTGTTATTGCACCATGAATTCACAAAGCCTCCCGTACTCTGTAATCCCGTTTCAAATCTACATTATTCCTGTCTAGGTGGCAACGCGTGTAATCAGCTGACCACCTTTTGATTTGGCAGCTGAAACGTCAAATAAAGTTGTTGCCGTCATAATTTTTAATAAAATTTTTTCTATGGTGGTTCTTTTGTTGGAGTGCTGTTTTCTTCTCGAATATTTCCAATAAAACTATTTATTGCTTGCCTACGAATAATATTAATTGCAAAACGGGTAATCTCTAAGTTAAAACGTTCATTGCTAACCAGAGGCCATGCAGTTCTAGCAAACGGCTAGTTGCTTTAACTCGGTTCCACAGTTTTTCTCATAATTGTATAGATTTTATTCAGGCAGATAATTGTCTATGCCGTGATCGTTACTTCAAACATATATAAACATAAACTTATAAGCAGTTAAAGCCGCAAAATCAAGAATGTCCTTTGACAGCAGCGTGCTTCCGTCAGAGTTATTGGTTGCACCACAGCCTCTTATAGGTTTCTGCGGCTTGGACACAACGCACAATCTAGTGCACAAGGCTATATGGGATGCGTTTAGCACCAATAAAAAAGCAGATAGGTAAGGCGTATTGTCCAAAAAACAACGATCGCATCATTAATGTCTTTCCATATTTTCAGAGCTTCTGTGCAATTCAAGATTTTACCACCTGCTTACGAGTTCCCAGTCGCAAAGCCTAAACGTGCTTCCTACGAATGGTACCAGCCCAAGGGGGTACTGAAACGAAATTGGATGCTTAAGCATTTGCATGTACTGCCTGCGGTTGTAGTTTTGTTTCAAGACATGGAATGGAATGACCCTCAATGGTCGGAAAAACAGGTGCAGTGCGCCTCAACAATCCAAAGTCTAAAGATCGCATTACAGGTTTGTTATTCATAAGGAGTGTTCAACTAATCGCTCTCGAATTGGTTGTCAATTTCAGGAACGAAACACTCGATTGTGCCTTGTGCTGTTGCAGAAATCATCACCTTTACCGCCAGGTGAAGACCTACTGGCATCAGAACGCGCTGCCAGTTTAACTACAGCTTGTAGTATTAATATTAAAATGTTATTCATCCTGCCGCATACTGAGCATTTAATGGGATATACATTACGATTGGAATCTGCGTTCCTAGACATGGCTCAATCCTATTACGCGCTCATGTCCAAACGCATACGTGCACATCGTGATCAATTAACTGCTGCGCACACAACACTCAAAATACGACATCAATTTAAGTTAGGTTTTGTTGCGGAGATAAGACAAGATTTCAGCACTGCATTGAAGTAAGTAGGCATTGCACGACTATGGTAGCAGTTATGAATGATGAGATTTCCAGTTTGACACCTCACATTATTCATATCTAGAGTGCTCACAGTTTCTTGGTATAGGTAATACGTGAATATACTGTTTGCGTTAATTTAATATGTGTCTTAAAACAAAATGGTGGCGATGTCGCGGACTTTACCGATAACGCAGCAGTCTTTTAAAGATAAAACGCGATAAAAATAACACCTTTATAATAGGAAACTGTGAGAACCACGACTTTAAAACTCGTAATAATTCTGCTTTAACTCCAAATACATTTACTCGTTTAAAACTTTTTTGCAGACATTTTACTCAGGCATATGCCACACTCGATGAGATACGTATCACTGACGCCAATTGCCTCGAAATGAAAACCATAGCCGGGTTCTTGAATTACAAATTATGTCGGTTAATGTTTAAATTAAAGGTGCCGCGTGATGCAATCAACCACTTTATAAGTCACATAGA